TATTTGGTGAATATTGGCAAAATCGAGGACCAGCTGTAGAAGAAAAATTAGCTTTAACTACAATGGGTCTACTTGTACAACATCATCTCATTAATCCATATGTACTTAATCCAAACCATTACTATTTTATTTAATTCAAGATATAGAGAACAGTTGTCTATTTCAATATTATACATAACAATGATACGAAAAGCAAAAATTATTATTGTTATCACTAATTGCTTTTGTGACTCTTAAAATTCTTGTCTTCTCCGTACCTTCAAAGTAAATAGTAGAATGTATTTCTTTCAATAGATGAAGTTCCGCTATGTCTAGGAAGCGTGAACAAATTTCTGAAATAGTCTGATCCATTTTTTGGAAATAATTTGAATAGGATTTTTTTATCTCTATAAAACTCAACAAATCGTAATAATAAGTATTCTACCCTGTATTGGTATAAAATATTATCACGAATCCATATATATATATATATATATATGTCTCTAAGCGTTCTTTTAAAAAGAGACAAAAAACCAATAATAACATATAAAAGAAACTAAGAAGAAAGTAAAATAGAGTCAAATAAATCTTCGGAACAAAGCAACATTTATTATCTCTTATTCAAACATTCTGTACTTGACATATTCTGCTTTAAGATAATAATATGATTTGTTTTAGATTGTAATCATTAATAATTGTCAACTGTCAATACATATACATAATTGCCAGATTGTTTACCTTTTATTTTATCAACAGACGAAGACATCAATTAAACTGATAGGCTTTCATTATTTTGATTGAAGAGAATGTTGTTTCCGAAAGAAACAACATATTTTTCAACAAATGCACTGAAAAGAATCATTATACTTTCAATAGATTTCGGATGGTAAAGACATTAGTGCGGGATTGTCAAAGATTGAGAACAGAATAAATATTAAATCGATCTGAGGAAAAAAATTGTCAAAACTAATCCAAAGTTATTCGTTTTTCTATGTTCAATGTAAAGAACGTATTTAACTCACCAGTGTTGCACAATTCGAGTTTATTTTAATTTCTTATCATTGATAAAATCTTGTCACATCGAATTCTATCATTAAGACACATCAATAAAGTATTTGTTAGATTACTATAAAATAAGTAACAGATTTTTTTCACAAATCATTTAATATAAATCTTTCCTGGTATATAGCAACCAATAAATCCTATATCGTCAAGAAAGATATCCGGTAAAGAAACCGCATATATTTTTATCAATAGAACAAAAAAACCAAGCGATGATTCATAAATAAACTAGTGACAAAAACAGAATGATGCGTTCGATAAGAAAAAATACCTATTAATCGATTGATATTGAGTTGAAAAGTTTTTAGAAATATATTATATATTGATATACTATCGTTAGAGAAATTTCAAGAAAATGATTGACTAATATTGATTTATAATTACTAGAAAAATGTGATACGTACGATGATTTGAACATGCAATTAAATATATGTATATGATTTCATAACTTGTAGTATGCTTTTAGATTATTTTATATAATAGTTTCCTGGTCAATGATATCTACTTTTCAAACAAATAAAAGAAATATTAACTTCAAATTCATTTCAGTCATGTTATTGCTTACTGAGTAATAAGAAACAATAGTTATACGATATAGTTCGATTTCCTATGGAGATGTTCATTGTATACTACTGTATTTTAGTTGCTTATATCTACCATGTCCTTTTTCTTTAGATCGACATGTGAAGACTAAATCTCCGAAAAAAACTATTAAGCGAAACATATATGTTATACTACTAAAAAAAAGCCACTTAAGAAAAGCTTTGACATTGGCCCAATATACCAATAATATGACTGTTACTATCCTAATCTTTGAAAAGGCTGGTCAATGTACGAGAATAAACATAATAAGAACCTGACCAATTCGTAGATGCCAACTGCTTCATTCAACAAATGAAACAATCGGAAAAAAAACGATCGAGTATGATCGTTCGATGCTGCTAAAATTTCATGCTAATTGATAACAGTATCTATTTGACAAAGATTCATGAGTATGTTGAAGGATTTATATAATACTTCAAAAAGAGAACAAGTCTATACTGTCTGATCTATTACATGAAGTCATTGAATACGGTAGATCCCTGTGTGATATGAAAAATCTCAAAAGAATATTTGCTTCTCGAGACACTAAGATCCCAAGAAAACAGAAAATTCTAGTATCTTTCATAGAATATCAACGATTTTTAGGACTTTGATATCTTGGAAATAAAATGAAATATTCTTTTAAGCTGGAATTTTCAGGGCATGCTACTGACAGATAGATCTGTCTGTAGGTAAAATCTCACATCGAAAAACCGTCATTCGATTTGTGGATATATACCACGTGCGGAAGTTAAGATTCTAGTAAAATATCTATAACTCTGAACAGAAGACCTAAAGGGACTTATTCTTTTGAGGTGTTTCATATCTCACTGTAGTCTAGCTTATGTACTGACGTGAGTCCTAATTCAAAAGCAATTGATTAGTTGAAAACATTTCCTTGTTAGGCTCGAAATTATTATTTCTTTATTGTATAATTCTGAAACATTCATCATTTCAAAATAATAAAACTAAATTAAATGAATGTGAAGACAATATTTCATATGCTGAACATAATTGAATTGCAAATATTTAATTCATAGATTAATATTCGTTCATGATAATTGTTTATTTATACATTCAATCAATCGATTTTCATTAAAGAGAATAGATGTGTCAAAGTGTAAGTGAATTATTATCGAGTAAATCTTAATTCTTTATAAATTAATTTAGTGCATATATGACTTCCTTGATCTTTTAATAAAAAGAAAATAACTTCGAATAGCGAAGAAAAAAAAACAAACTAAAAGTAAAGTACGGGAATACATAGACTGATAATGGGTTTTCCTAGAGATTTACATATATATTAAAAAAAAAAGAAAAGTTCGAAAAAAATTATTAACAGATATTAATCATCGACAAATAACAGATGAAAAACATTATTTTTCTGCATTTAATGCTTCAATAAATTCTTCTAATTTTTCTTGAACTTGTCGAACACGTTCTAAAATAAATAAGAATTGTGTTTTTTTTTTAATTTCTATTTAAAGAAAATTTACTCAATTCTTCAGCTAAATCAACTCTTTTTCCTTTAAGATTTGCTTTTAATGTTTCATCTCCACTAAAATCATCTAATATTTCTTTAACTTCTCGTTCAAGTCGACGAGCTAAAAAAAAAAGATCATTTATTTTGATTCAAGAAAAAAAAAACATATTCAAAACAAACTTTCAATATTTGATATTTGTTGTCGAATTGCATTACTTGTTATTTCAATCATGCGTTTTAAACGCCAAAAGAAAACAACTTCATGACAATCAAGCTATAAAAAAAACAGAAAAATTTCATTGCGATAATTACAATCGATTTACATACACCTTGATCAGAAAATCCTTTTTGATAATAATAAAAAAATCGACGACAATCAATACATGTCGTAAGATTTTGTTTAAGAAAATGAATTTTATATACACGTTGCCATGTTTCATTTATCTACAAAAAAAAAATTTCATATAAATGATAAACAATAAAAATCTAAACATTACAAATTCATTAGATACATCCATTTTTTGTGCTTGAAGATTTTTTTTAACAGCAGTCAATTCATCTTGATCAAGAGTAGAACGAAGCTAAATAGGCATTGAATTTTAATTAAATCGTATAAATCAAGAACAAATCTTAAGTCAAAAATAGAACCGGTGTGGACGTTTGACAATCGATATCGGTACCAGTAGGAATAGATAAAACTGGACCGGCAAGTCTCAAGTCTAGATCAGTAGGTCGACCGGTGACCAGCAGGTCTGAAACTCGGACCGCATCGGCAGGTCTACCGATGATCGGCTGGTCTGAAATCCGGATTGGACTGGTACTGGTCCCATCGTTGAAACATAAGGTATTTTACAATAGAGCTATTATCGAAGTAAACTCAACACTCGAATTTTTTCAAGAGGATCGTATTATTAAATTTTCCTATTAAATAAATATTCATACCACTTGATTAGTTTTTGTTGTTTGATTTAATTGTTGTCTACTCATCAAGACTTTATCTAATTCTTTTATACATTGTTGTCGATATTTTTCTTCAATAGTCGATCTTTGAAAACCGATGAATTTCTTCCATGAACTTTGATTTATATTTGATAATAATTCTGATTCTTCATGTTCTAATTCTTTACGTAAAGTATTTTCCATAAATTTAATAGCTGATTCCCATTGTTGTTTATCTGGTACATTACGATCTTGTAATGCTTGAGTTTGAATAACTCTCTATTCAAACAAAAAAAAATAAAATAATAAATCATCATATAAAATAAATAATATCTATAAATACAAGTGAGTCAAGTGCTTTAGAATCCCATTGATGTCTTGAACGACATGCTTGAACAACTTGCATTTTTAAATCATTAGTAATTGGATCATATGAACGACTTTTTTGTTCACGTTCAATTAATCCTTGAAACTCATCAAGTAATACAAGATGACCAATATGAACACATTGACGTGGTAATTCTTTTTCAGCCCATTGTTGTAATTTAACATCAACAGTTGTATTAAAACCACTAGAAAACAAAAATTTTGATCTCACTAAAATGTCGTTAGGTTGCAGATTCGAAAATTTTGGACCCGACAGGCTCTACCCTTCTCACAGAACACATATCAATAACGTCTCTTTTATAATTCTTTGTTGCATTTTGAGAGAATGATGAAGGAATATGTTCCAAAATAGGTAGAATAAAAAAATTTCCTTATGATTAACAAGAGCAGCTACATCATGTTTTACAAGGATTGTGTTCTACAGCGTTTTTTTTTCTTCTAATTGAAGAAATTTACCCGACTGATCCTGTTTGAGAAGCAGTAATAAAAACTTCATTAAAAATAAAGCTAGACATGGTTGACCATAGATGTTTTGATAAATTTTCTTCCCTAAACAACAAAACATTTTTATTTTATTTTATTTTTTTGAATTTTTTTTCAATGAATAATTACCATTGTCGACTAGGTATTTGACTAAGATTAATAACTTGATCAAGTATTTCACCACGAGCTTTTTCAAATAATTCATCCTGAACAAAAACAAAAAAAGATTTTAAAGTAAAAAAAAAAATTTTTTTTAATAAACAAACTCGATCTTGTTCACGTATTTTTGGAAAACTATTTTTCCATTCAGTTTCTAAATTAAATCTTGTTGCTTTAAATGTATCAGCTTGTTGTTCAACACTTTCTTTAACCATTTTCCAAAAACAATCACTAACTGCAAAACTTAAATTACGTGTTGTTGTTTGTGTAGCTTTAAATATTCCATCACTTTCAAATTATAAAACAAAATTAATTGAGAAACTCTCAATAAAAGAAAGTTTTTCATACCGAAATAATTTAGAATTTCGAAAAAATTCTTCTTCATATTTTTGAATTGATTCTATTGAATCATCAGCATTTCCTAAAAGAATATTAACTTACATTATTTCATTTTCTTTTTTAACTTCAATTAAAATATTTGCTTAGTTAAATTAATTCTCATATATTAAATCTTTTATAAAATTCTAACCTTTGCCAGTAACAACTGCAAAGTAACCTAAAGCTTTCATTGGAAATAGTTTGCCATCAAGAATTTTTTTAATCTAAATTACAAGAATTAGTTTGATTTTAAAGGACTCCATCGGATTTAATGATCTATCTTGAACTTGGATGCCATATATGTAATTTTGTAGAGCAATGTGTAACTTATAGAAATTTTTTAGAAGTTCAATTCGATATAGTTACAAGTTTCTATAATCTATAATTTTCATTGTTACTTTTTTCATACCTTTTTTAGGTTCAGATTATTTTTTGACTATATGATATTCCAGTCGTTGTCGGGTTCTGTATGTTTCAAAGATAACATCCAGTATATTGACAGTATTTTAATAATACTTAACTGTCCGATTAAAAATTTAATGTATTAATAATCAGTACAGCATTCCTAATGAATTAATATCAACAACGCCATTATAAACGGAAAATTTTTTTTTTTTGATCGTCGGATCCCTGAGGGGGGATACGGGAATATTTGAAAATTCATTTTTGAAATAAACATAAGATATTTATAGATTGTTCTAGAGTTTCATGGATAAATCAAACTTGGATACTCAGATTAAAAATAACAGACCTATATAGAAAGTTGCTGCTGCCACGCCGCCATGGACATCTCTGATCCTATAATATCCCCAAAGCATTATAACTAGTATGTCCCACATATGTGGCATCCTCGTTCAACATAGGTCACCAAATCCGACGGGGGAGTCCTTTATGTTTATACTAACTCGATCAGTATCGTAAAGATTAGCTTCAGCTAAATCGACTTTGGTTAGAACAAAAATAGTCCTTTTACCATATGGATCCATTTTTGAAACAAGTTCTGTTACATTACTACGTTCTGCATCAACACTTCCATCTGAAAACAAAAAAAAGAAGAGTTTCAAATGCCTCATGCATACAAATAAATATTTGCCTTGAATACAAAGAATAATAGCATTTGGATTTGACATATAATTATTTGCCAAACGAGTAATAGAATTTTTTGTATCTGATGCCATACCTATTGTTTCCGTCTAGAGCAAAAAGAAAACAAAAATTAAAAAGAAAATATTAATAAATTACACTAATAATTCCAGGTAAATCAACAAGCACCATACGTTGAAGACCGGGACCTTTAACTGATAATGAAATAACCTAAATTATTTGTTCATTTAATATTTTTGATATTAAAAAATTTTTAAAAACGAACTTCATTACTGATTGTTTGACCTTCTCGAACTGATGCACGCATTCGAAGTTCAATTTCTTTTCGAAGAGCAGCTAACTAAAAGAACAGCAATAAAACAAAATCTTCTTTTTCAAAAACAATCATATGTATACATCTGTTTCTTTTGTTAAATCATATTCTTTACGATTATCTTTAAAAGTTGCAACATGATAAGGACCTTCACTTAAAGTAACTTTTACTGGACTACGTGTCATCATTTCACCAGCACCTCTAGAAAAGAATATATTAAATATGAAAACAAAAAATATAAAATCAACATGAACAAACCGAGGAAATATACGTGCTTGTGTTATCATTTCAAGTACACTAGTTTTACCGGAACTTTGATCACCAATAACAATAACCTAAATAGAAAAATTGAATTATACAATCTTTTTTGACAAAACACTCTAGCCAGTTTCATTACATTGTTATAAGTACAGAATATTAGTTGATATCGCTTATCTTTCAGAGATGTTCCAGTGAAGACTACTAGAGTATACTGATAATATCTGCCAGTTACACCGAACTAGACCATCTCGAAGTATATGTGAACACTTGTTGGCTACCTGGAGATCGTTCGGACTCCGTCAAGATTCATTGTTATATCATCAAATCATGTCATTTTAGATATGTGTTACGAACACTTGCGAGAGAACGTTGTTAAATCGCTTTTGAATCGGGACTATGTGCATCATGTAGATTCTAATGAGTTATGAATATGTTGAAAAGAGTGCGTACCAATGGCTTATTACTATCGAAGTACTGTATGTTTTAGCAGAATGCTGTGATCCCTCTCAAGAAAACTAAGTCTTCAATTTTGACTTGAAAACTTGCATAGAAACATGTTTTAATGAGAATACTTTATTGTAAAAGTTTCAGATATTTTGATTGATTATATCCTAAGATACGACTATGGTCAAAGTACTAATTAAAAAAATTTAAAATTTTCACAATAAGCTATGCTCGTTAAGGTCTATCTTTGTGCAAAACTGCAAGTCAAAATTCGATACTCAATTTTGCTAACGAATTTCACGACACTCTGCTAAAAAAACTGTATCTCGGCGGCAATAACCTATTATTTTGAACTCTTTTCATGGTATTCATAGCTCATTAGAACCAACACGATGCACATAGTCTCGACTCAAAAGTGATTTGATATAAACTTAATTGATGGAAAAAATTTTAACAACAATATACTTTTTTTCTCTAATGTTAAGCAATTAACTCAAACTTAGATTGTGATTTTAATAGTCAATGAAGTTTTCTATCTAATACATTCTATAGTAAAATTTCTACAAAAAACCAGACATAGTAGTTTGGAAGTTTCAGAAGCTATTCTTTAACAATGCCATTTTAAAGAGAATCAAATGGGAGGGATCGCCACATTTTCTACGACCTCGTATTTATCAAAATGTCGACTAAATATTTTCGTGTATGACTTCTTAGAACTTGATGAAAACATTCTTTCTAATTAAAAGTCATATTTACTCGAGGTAAATGATCTTGAATATTATAATTAGTATCATATTCACTTAATTCATCTAATACTTCACTGTACATATCAATAAGTGATTTCTTAATAAAGAAGAAATAAGAATTAAAATTTTTTTTTAAATTTGAATTAAATAAAAAAAAACTTTAATTTTTCGTTGTTTTTTTCCACTTGTAGTTCGATCTTGTTTTAATAAGAGTTGTTTTTTTAATGATTGTAATTCTTTTTCTAATCGATCTATTTCACGTTGATATTTTATTTGTATAGTCATCATTTCTTGTTGAATTTTTTCTTGACGTTCATGAGCTTGGAATTGAGCAGCCTAATTTTAAATAAAAGAATAATTTAACAAAAAAAGAAAAAAGAAGTCACTAACTTTGCGTAATTTTTCTTGTTCTTCATTTGTTGTCTGCATATTTTGATATGATTTTGCCAATATAAAATGACTATCTAATACAAAAAGAAAAAATAACACAATAAACAAAATCAAATATTTCGTTTTTTACTTGATGATTTTTGTTCATGATTATTTAATGATAATGATGGACCGAGAATTAATAATTCTAAAAATACAACATATTCAATTTTGTACAATTGAGAAAAAAGGTATTCTAACTTGAACATGTCGTTGTTACAAGATAATCAGTAAATCTTTCATGTAATTGTCTAATGTGATTTTGTAAATTAGTCTATACAAACAAAACATAAAATAAAAATAGTTAATAGAAAAAAAAAAAAAAACATTTTTTTATACGGTGTCAGGAATTGTAATAGAATCTCTTAGATCAAATAAATATTTTGTTAATGCATCGACATTTTCTTCAGGCATATATTCTTTCATCCATGATATATCAGGTAGTTTATCTTGTAATTCTTTGTATTTCTAGAACAAAAAAAATTTATTTGAAAAAAAAAGTAAATGACACTAACTTTATGAACTACATAACTACCACCAACTGTTGTACTAATGACTAAATAACGTAGGCGAAGAAGACGAAGTAAAGATGACATTTAAGATCTAATAATAATTAATGAAAAACTACGTTTTGAAAAAAAAGACTTGATGGAAAATCTAAGCATTGCATTAGAAAGTAATACAAGTGGATCATTCACTTGAACCAATACGATCTTTATGATTGGAATACACTACGCGAACGCCATCTATCGGCAAGAAAGAATAGCTTCTCTAAGTAAATTTTTTGTAACTGTGAAACGATGACTGAGAACAGAAGTGTATTGCCGAGAAGAAATCAGAAATGCGTATGGCGAAAAAGAGAGGAAGCCTAGTAGCGTACCTAAGTCATAGTTACAGTAAACTCCCTGCAGAATAGCAGTCCAGTGGGCTTCTATTGTGAAGAAAAATTTTATGTGTTGCAGCTATGCTTTCATTAGTTTACAAGTATAGAAGTGTTCGACAATTGATAAATCATTTCTCGGTCCTATACTATTAAGTAGGCAAAATAATACACTACTTTTTATATCTACATGCTCATCTATCTCCAGTACTCGGTGGATCCTAGTATGAATACGAACAGTTGAAGTTAATAGAATACTTTTACCTAAGAAATTTTCAAGCTGTTGAGAAATTAGAAAGAAACTCTTCTTAAACATGTACTAATATAATTTTGCTGTAAATGAGTTCATGATAAACCGAAATAAGAGTCTCTTATTTCTCAGAGATGGATAGTTTAGATCTTATGAATATTATAATAATCGACATTGTACTATCTCACACTAACTTTTATTATCAAGTTCGATAAATGTTCATGTAATTTGAACCGACCGCTATTCACTTTCGTAAAATGTTTCATTTTTTAGCCAACGATTTGTTCATATTTCTGTTTTCAAGTGAGCAAAAAATAAGTGAAGACGAGCGACATGACTAGTCTGAAATGTCCGTAATACCCGTCATGTCTAGTCTAAAACGTCTTACACACTCGTCATGACTAGTCATCTTTAGGAGAAGTGTCTTTTAACCAGGTCTGAACTGGTCCAGAAAGTCCTTGAACCCAGTCATGTCTAGTTCGTTTTGTCCATCATCTATCCCGTCCAGACTAGTCTGTAGAACAACAAAGTAATAAAAAAAGAAGACGAAAGGTGGATTCGACCCAACAGTATTTAATATCTGACGGGTGTTCTGACAGCAGACTATGACTTAGCGATAGATTGACGTTCGTTTAAACAGTCTAAGTAGCAGAATGATGCGTGTCCGTCTGCTAGGCGATTTGAAACCCGTCGAAGGCGAGCGACTTGACTAGTGTGAAATGTCTTCAATGATGGTCAGGACTAGTCTGCAGTGTCATCTATGCACGTCAAGACTAGTCCTTTTTTTGAGAATACTATGCTAATTCTTGTTCACACTAGTCTAAAAACTTCAGATAACTTATTTTGTTTGGGCTAAACTGTTCTGCTACTTCGTTGAAACTGATCCATAATAGAAAAAAAGAAGTAGAATACAAGACAAAAAATTTTTCAACATCTCTATTATAGTTAAAAATATGCTCACTGCATGATGGTGATGTTTACTTTTGCAGCATACATATTTTTAATTACACCACAACTTTTTGTCGTATAACGGGCAATATCTTTGATATTTTCTTTAGTCCCTAGTGTTGAGAAAATTGCCGTTCATGTGTAGAAATAATTCCAAATTATATTATGCAATGATGAATAAGCAGGAGAGAGAGAAAAATGAAAAAAAAAATGTTTATTTCTTTCGTCCGTCCGTCATTTCTACCGTTTCTTCTCGATATATATATATGTACGGCATGTTTGAAATTCGTCATTTCCAACATATCTTATCTTAGTAAACACATTACCATTGTTGTACCTCAAGTGAAAAGTTAAGTTCTCTGTTACATATTAATTCCATAATGAATGTACAATATCTTCGTTCGTATGTAAAAGTCGATATGTATTTGGGTAAAAAAGAATTTCAAAAGTGTGAAAAGGTAAACATTATTTTGAATAATTAAAACCATTACTTGTATCTGTTTACAGCTTTTGACAAAATTAATCAATAGCAATCCGGATGTAACAGCTGATCATAAAGGTACTGTTAACGGTGATACCTGTTCTACCCCTCGATGCTTTCGTTCTCTCTCTTCTCTTTGTTGTTGTACAACTATTTCTTTTCTTTTCTTTTTTTTCTCTGTTATACTATGCACTTCAAGGACATTTTTACATATATATGTTAACGGTAGCTCGCATTCTGTCTACCCTCGATTCTCTATCTCTTTCTCTCTCCCTTCTTCTTTCTACTGTATTGTTATTGTTATTGTTGTTTCTCCTTCTTTTTCTCTTGTTCTTCTTCTCCTCTCTATGGATATATATATACCTAGTGATTTTAAGGACATTTTTGAAGAGATTTAACATATGAAATAAATAAAATAAAGTTAAGCTCGTCGAAGCGAGCTAACAGGTACTATGATCGAATTATTAAAGAAACGAGTTTTGGTTTATCATCATTTAGGAAAATACCGACGTGAGTATTTGATTTTTTAAAATATTTAATGAACCAGAAAAGTTGTTTAGTTGTTTTGGACGATATTCAATCACTTATTACACGAAATGTACTAATCGACTGGAACAATGATATATTTTACATTCAACAGTAGGTGACTTTATAATCGTTTTTATTTATTGATCTGAGATATTTATTTTATAGAGAAGCAATTTTCAATTGTGCTGTCGATGAAATTACGAAAAACTTAGATAAAAATTTATGTTCATGTAAGTCGTACTTTGATGTTACCATTGCAGTACTATTGTTACTTATTTATTTCAGTAAATGAGTCGTTTTTTGATTTTATAAAGTCAAAAGATATCTTTAACAAGTAATTTAATTGCAAATCTGAGTTGCATAACAATTTATTCTGTATTTATTTTATAGAAAAACATTTGACGATACAAAAACTAAAACAACTGGAAGAAAGAAAAAATTATTTTGAACAATTAATTAATATATGGTTAAAATAACATTTGGCTTTTTGTTTTTGTCTTTTGCCCAATGTGCAACTTGTATATAGTAAATGATTATGTGCATCAACCTGTATTTTTTTGATTGTATTTAGCGCTTATAGTTGATTCTCATTGTCTCTTATTGCTAAAATCATAATAAATAACAGAAGAAAAGAAATAAATATAAGTTTTTTAATTAAATACATAAAAGCTGAACAAAATGAAAAGTTACTGTTTGATATTGAATAGAAGCTTTTGATTTAGCTGTGCAATCTGCTTATGGTGCTGATGTATCAGATGATAAAACAAAGAAAAAGAAACAATAAAAAAAACCTAGTACAATCGATGATCTTGAATGTATGATTTTTCATTAATTAGAATTCCTTTTCAAAAATGTTGTTTCTTTTTTACCGTTTAATACAATTGTTTGTATAAGTGTTAAACAATTATTACCAGCAATCTATCGATTTCTTCATATAAAACTTGTTATAACAAGTAAATTAAAACCAGAAACAAGTTCAAACTGAAAATATATTTAAAATATGAAAAAATGTTCGCTACATTTTACACGAATTTGTCTTTCTTTTTGAAATTATTTTATATTCATTTTTTTGATAAATTTTGCTCGTACTGATGATTAATGTTCCAAGTACATTAAATATTCTTCTTGGACATGTTCGTTCTGTTATTCCATTTGTTATTATTTTTACTAAATACTCATCAAGCACTTGTTAAAGTATATTGAGATAATGAAGAAAAATTCTTTTCTCAATATTTATTTTATTTTAGGAATTAATTCACATTTGGTCAACATCATAAGATGAACATAGCCGTGTTATTGCATTTGTTTGTTGATTTTATTTAATACGTGAACATCGAAATGAAATGATTGGTGTTGTTTTACAAGTAAAGATTTTCGTATTTATCAACTTAATTAAATTTTTTATTTTCAATAGAAAATGTATTTGGATTATTTGAAAAATTGCAAATTTACATCCACAACAACACTTCGATTAATTAATTTTATACACAGATCATTAGTTGAACTTTATTCACTTGATCCATCAGTTACTTATCAAGATGGGTTTTTTTTTCTTTGACAACTTGCTGTTCATTTACGTGCAACTATTCAAAACAAAAACAAGTAAACAAAATTTTTTTCAATCTAATTTAAGCAGATATGTACTAGTTGAAGTTGTTTCGAAACTTGAATATTGATTAGTTTGTAGTCTATAATCGTTCGAAGACTGATAATCAAAGGTATGTACTCATAATTTACTAACTGCATTATCCTCAATCGGTAAAAAGCAGATATATTCTCATTGTTTTATATTCGAATCGACCTGTGATTGACGGCATTGAATTGCACATTTATTTTCTACTGTAAAGATATCTATATTCGTATAGATAGTAAGAAATGTAAAAATTATGTTTATACCATTGCCATTTAGGTCTCAACCATCATCACTATCGAATGGTTTATCTAGAACAAGGTGCAATATGAAATTTTTTATAAAAATTAGATACTGAGAATGATTTATAAAATGAATATTTATTTTTGAATTTAATATTCAAATCTTTTCGCTAGTTTTATTAGTTGCTATTCAACATAAAAACATCATTCACATGATGATGAACAAATTGTAGAAACTAAATCATTTGACGATATAGAACCTCAAATAAAACTACGTTCAATTGGTTCATCTTCATCTATACCATTATTTAAAATGCAACAACAAACAAGAAATGAATCGACTAGTGGTGTACCTAGTCGATTATATAGTGTATGTGGAGACATAAGCATCGGTAAATATTATTCTATATTTAAAAATCAAATAATCAATTAAGAATATTTTTACTAGAAATTTACTTCAGTGGAGATAGTTGTGAAAGTTGTAAAGCATTTTTTCGTCAATCCATACAATGTCTTCGTTTCCAGAATTATAAATGTTCCAGTGAAGGTAAATTCATGAAAAGGATAATAAAAATTTGTTTGTTCATGTGTATTTTTGCGTTAAATAAAATAAAATAGAACAAAGTCATGATATTAAGTCTAATGAAAAGATAAAAAAAAGAAAAGAAAAGAAAATCTTGGCGTATCTTTTCTTTGTCTATTAAATGTGAAAAGAATTTTTCTAAAGAGTTCTATTAATTATTGATTAAAAAAATTCACGTCTATTCTATTCAATTAGAATTCCTTAGAGAAAAATCTAAATATATTTCAGAACGATACCTGGTGAAGATTGTGACATGTAAAGTTTGCCGATATGCAAATCGTACATCTATTGGGATGAAACCAAAATGGTAAGAATAAAAATAAACAAAATCTTTTTAGCGAATTTTTTATTTATTTAAAGAGGGTTTTATCTGATGAAGAACGTGAAGAAAAATATGGTTTAAGACGAAAATCATACAAGTGCAGAAGACCCTGATATTTATAAATTTTTAACCAAAGAAGAAAAATTACTTATCGAAGATAGCTCATACATTATATCAATCCCGAGCGTGAGTAATCAGATCTTGTAGTATGTCAGAATACACAAACAAATAATAGTTAAGGTCATCCTTCTTTTCGTTCTCTTTCGAGTTATACGGCATGAGTCTTTAGATGAAAAGTAAATAGATAGAATGTCAAACAAAAACGAACAGACCAATTATATTATTTCTTATTTTAGAATATATTCATTAAATTTTTCAACTCCATCAATTTGATTTGCAAATGTTTCAAATCCCAAATCTGATAATGCAAATCTTCAATTACCGAATAATGAAAAATCTCCAAATACTTCAGCTAATTTTCTTATTGTACCAATTCAATGTCTTGTTTTATTCACACGAATGCTGAAAGATTTCGATTTATTTTTCAAGGATGATAAAGTTAGTTTACTTAAAAGTTCAGCTGTTGAAATAGTGGTTTATTCATTAAATACATTACTGGATCCGAAAATTCACACATTTACAAATTATTTATCACTTGATCAACGTGCTTTGGTTGATGATCAAGTAATGCCACTTGATCCATTACTTACAAAAGTATGTGGTAAAGAAATATTTAATCGTACACGAAGTTTTTTAATTTCAATGTGTTATTTACATATTGATGAAGTAGCATCAACATTATTAGTACCGATTATTTTATTTTCACCTGATCGTTTAAATATAAAACATCTTGATTTGGTTAAACGTTTATAAGAAAAATATGCAACATTTTTACGTAAATATATGAATTGGAGTTATGGATTTGAACAAACAGAAAATATTTATCCATAACTTTTACTTCAAATTATTAATACTCGTTCATTAAGTTTAGCACATAGGAAAATAATTGAAAAATTTATGGCTACATCAAGTGTTAATTCACTTGTACGAGAAGTTATTGTTAAGCCAGAAGTATTAAAGAAGCCAACAACAGAAAAATTAAGATAGAAAAACAATATCAATTTTTAGTTTTTAGATTCATTATCATTATCTCTATCTGATATTGAAATGACAGATGTTGATAAAACTCCATCGAACGATACAGAAAGTAGTAATGGCTTTGATGAAGATGATTTTATGAAGAAAAAACAACATTTACCAACAGACGATGAAAATGATAAATTAGATGAAACTGATCCACGTAATATATGGCGAAAAAGACGAAAACTATCAAATAATAATCAAATAAAAACTACAACTGAGTATAAAAATATTGATTAAATACTCAAAAACAAATTGTTTTTACATGAGACCACATGATCATCAACTACCGATTGTTATACCAGTACATCATGATTATCTAATGGATATGTCAAATATGTTAGTTATTTTTAAAAAAAGTTTTAATATTTTGTTCGAATTTTTAGTGGATATCCAATACATAATCAATTTTCATCGTTACCATTAAAAAGGCAATCGTTAATAACAAGTTCTTACTCAATTGAACAATTACAGCAACTTTATTGAGCACATTCATCATCAACAAATGATCTTTCATCATATGATTATCATTCAGGGCATATGTTTTTTAATAAAAATTTCAAATAGAAACAAAAGTTTTTGTGATTTCAGTAAACTCAATTTGTAATTCAACCATGGTTATCAATAGCAGGACATTATTACGATGATCAAACATATGAAAATTATCGTCAACATTATGCACGTATATCAGTAGCTAATTATCAAAACAAAATGAATAACAATTAGTTCTTCTTTCTTTAGGTAAAAAAATCTTTGATAAAAATATTTAATAATTCTTTTCTATTTAGTAAATAATCAAAATCCAACATCACCGATTCATTCATTAACAAATCAACATACAGACCATCAATCTCAATCAACAACAATTACTTAATGCTATTCATGCTCATCCAAATAAACGTGATCTTGTACTTAATCTTTTACGACAAATGAATCAACAACAACAACGTCGATCAGATCTACCAAATAATTCTAAATCATGTAAAAAGTATTTAAATATAGAACATAATGATAAGTCATCGTAATTGATTATTATAAAAAATTTCTTGTATATATACATATTCATAAATCTTTTCTCTTTTCTTAGCATCTAAAGGTGATTATTATTCTTTTAATTTCATTTAATCTGAGTACAATATCGAATTCCGACGTGTTTAAATTTATATTTAAATGAAACAAAACAAAAAAAATGAGTAGTATATCTTTTGAAAAGTGAATTATTTGTTTGTTTAACAAGTTAATAAAAATTAATATCGTTTTGTTCTTGAGATGTGCATATGCTCATAGCGGAAAATAAATATAACAGAATAGTATGATTGCGTGCCTAATCTGTATCCCACAGTTCTCCGACAGCTATCTGCAAGTGTTAAGTATGCATACGCATTTTTCAAATCACGAAAAAAATTGATTTGTCCGTTTCTAGAAAACGTACAATACAAAAGAAATTAAACACATGAATTAAATAGTGAAAAGCAATGAGATAATCTATCCAATTTCATATATTGTCTTTTTTGTGCTCAGGTCGGGCACAGTAGGCTTCTGTTCTGTGCGGAGGGTGTATTCATCTTTCACCAATGGCATGAAAAAAGATTAGTTGAATTCGATATATTCTCCTTCCAGAGACCGACACAGGGCACTTTTTTTTGTCCTATTCTGTCCTGTTACCCTGATTTATTTTGCCGTGTCCAGTCCTCAAGGCAGGGCTGGACAAGACAGGGCGGCTTGAAGAGTTTTAGACTGGTTCTATGTTCTGAAACAAAACTCAAAACCTGAAGAAGATTTAAAGGCACTTTTTCTTTTCATTATGCATACTTTAAATCATTTCAAAAATGCTAGAAGATACTAATGTCTATATTCAAATGAAAATAGAGCACTAACTAGTCAATATCAATAAATATACAATGAAAAACGTTGAGTATGTAAGTGAAACCGACAAAAATAAATGAAAATGTTCAACGTAATAAATGAAATTAAAAATACAGACATACGGTAGTTTGTTTTTGCTATCAAGATAGATAATTTGGCTATTGTATTCTTTCTTTGTTCTTCTTTCTGTCTCTATCCTATTCAGATGAAACAAATGATAGCTCGAAACGAATTGTAAAAACTGTCGCTAAGATATATTACAATGGATGAAATATAAACGTGATTGGCTTGCAGCGACGTCTCATGTGACTGTACAAATGATTGAAAATTTTGCCCAAAAAAATATAACTTGAGAATTAATAATGATTCACCAGGGAAAAATAACTCGCCCTGTGCCCTGGTATAGGCGCCCTGCAAAGCGATCAGGACAGGGCGAAAAAGAAAACCTTTGCCCTGTGGGACAGGGCAGGACAGTCCTGTCCTGATGTCGGTCTCTGTCTCCTTCATTAAATTCTGCATGTTGTACAATATTATATTCTATCCAACGTTGTTATTTATCATCTATGGAAACAATAAGAAAATTTTTCAGCTGTTATTTTGAAGAAACAAGAGTCAACGAATAAGAATAGGGTTAGGACAAATAGCAGTTATTCATTCAGTCTTCGAGTCACTTTTGTCGTTGTGTTATTATCAGTGTTCTTCATATGAGAGGACATTCGTGAATGAGGTTTTTTTCGTGGCAAACAAAAACTTTTTAAACAAGCATATGAATATTTATATCAAGTTGTAGTGGCTCCCAATGATTTACTACGAATCACTTCTAGTACGAGCAGCATCATGAACATCTCTGGTATGTGTGTCTAGAACATTCGAAGAAAACTAAGAGAAACTAAACTAGAAATTTATTTTTAACAATTGCGAGTATTGTATTTTAATTAGTATGAATTCTGTAAACATCAAACTTTAAGAAAATTGGTTTCTAATAGGAACAATTTATTCAAAAAATGATTTTTGTTTTTTATTCTAATAATTCCAGGTACCAAAATTGAACTATTTTATTTTAAAAGTTTTTTTTAAGAATGATTTGGAATTTGCTTATTTGAAATGGATACTTAATAATTTAAATCATATCTAAAAATTTAAACTTCATCTTCAAATTTATAAAATGTATTCATCCTTAGATGTAATGATTAAAGAATATGTTGTTGATGCAAATTTTATTTATCAATATTGTATGCTTGATATCATACTTAATATAACAGATTTTCAATTTTATATTGTTTCTGAGTGTCAATTATTGTCGAGTAATATTGAAAAAATCATGAATTCATCAATTTTTATTAATTATCAATAAACAAATGTAACTTGTTTCTATGATCATAAGTATAAAAAACAATAGCTTTTAGAACATCGACAATAGCAGCTAAATCGTGTTTCACATTTTTAATCCTGCAAGGGATTGCGCTAACTGCTTTTTATTAACTACCAGTTATAAAAAATTCAATTTAATCCAAAAATTTTTAAAACCATTCATTCAAAAAAGCCGTTTTTTGAACGTTTTATACCTTGATTTTTATTTTTCTTCTTCTATGATTGATGTCAGTATACAAAACTTGATTGTTCAAATAAGATTATCGGTACATTTAGAGGACGAAGTCTACTTTAATCAGTACAAACAAGTGATGTTTTTCATTTTTCTGAAATTGTTGATACCATTGATTTTAAAGATATTAAGCAGGCATAAAATTAAAAAACATCAATTCCATCGAAATAAATCAGATCTTAACTGTTCCACTTTGATAACCCTTATTGATTTTTGTTGCTCATTGGTACTTATGTTTTTATAATATATCTCTAAGTCACTTGGGACATTTTCTGTAAATTGTATATACCGGGTGTTCCAAAAGTTTTGCAACATTTTGTATTTTGCATATATCTCGGCATAGGTAAATGATAGAACCTTGATTTTTTTAAAAAGATGCGCCTTGAAAAGCTCTACAAAAAATGTAAGAACAAATCCCTATTGACTTGTTCTGATGATGTCTCCTATACTTAAAATGAATAGGTCAGATGATGATCCTATGTCCCATGGTATTAAGTATTTGGAAGACTATTTTTGTTTCGCAATAGGAACTTGCTCATACAGATTTTGTAGAGCTTTCGACGGCGCATCTTTGGAAAAAAAGATCAAGACGTTATCATTTTCCTAAGTCGAGATATTCGCAAAATAAAAAGAAGTCTCCCAAATATTGTTGTTATACTAATTACGGTGGTACATAACACCGTCATGTGACCTGTTCATTTTGAGTATTGGAGACAATATTTGACGAAGTCAATAGGGATATGTTCTTACAGTTTTTGTAGAGTTTTTCACGGCGCATCTTTTGAAAAAAAGTCAAGGTGTTGTCGGTTTCTCAAGGCGAAATATTTGCAAAACAAAAATAGTCTTCCAAATACTTAATACCATGGGACATAGGACCATCATCTGACCTATTCATTTTAAATATAGGAGACATCATCAGAACAAGTCAATAGGGACTTGTTCTTACATTTTTTGTAGAGCTTTTCAAGGCGCATCTTTTAAAAAAAATCAAGGTTCTATCATTTACCTATGCCAAGATATATGCAAAATACAAAATGTTGCAAAACTTTCGGAACACCCGGTATATATATATAATGTAAGTAACTCCATTAAAAATGGTTACAAACTGTTTTTATATCACATTATGACAAACTCTTGCATCGATAAACATTTTTTGTGCATCAAAAGCAGATAAAAGATTTGTAATTACATCAGAGTAGGATCGTAATAAGAATAAAACAAGATTATCAGATCATTATAAGACAATATCAACAATGATCAGAATCTCGCTGGAAAAATATAAGGATCTAGTTTAGATCTTTATTGGTTTTTTGTTTAGAGTGTATTCACAATTTGTTTCTCAGGATTCTATCAAGATTTATAAATGATCCTGTTCAAGATTTTGGCAAAGACGGATGTAAAGGTCTCATAAAAACTTTAGCTAGTTTTTATCTAGGATTTGTTCAAGATTTATAAATCTTTAGATCACAACATGGCTTTTAATATCAATTTTGAGTAGCATCTCAACAGTAATCAACGGAAGAACTTTTCACATTTTTGTGATGCTGCGTTTCGAACCTGAAAGAATTCAGGATTCTACTAGAATTTTATTCTGATCATGATTGGATCTTTGTATAAACAGTAGAACTTCTGATAAAATCTCAGAAGATTTTGTTTTGAACCTTTTGAAGATTTATATTGAAATTAATTTGAGATTTAGGCCAGAAATACAAGTTATTGTTGTGATGTTATCCTGAAATGGTAATTGGAAAAATTATTAAATTATAGTATTAATTTCAGTTAATGTGTTACATTAATTTTTGTTTTTTCATGAAATAACTATTTTTAATGAGAAACAAAATATTAGCAAAACCTGTTCATAGTGTGAATTATGTGTAGAAAAAATTGAAATAGATTTTTTAAATGAAATTGAGATCAACAAAAAATAGTGAAATTTGTAAATTAGAAAACAACATTTAACATGACATTGTATTTTTCAAATGTTTTTGTGATAATATGTGTTCATATGAAACCGAATTATAAGTTAAGAATTCATTCAAATTTAAAGATATAAACGCTAGCAGTTATTTATAAAATTATGGCACAATTCAGTAGGATAAATCGATCGGTTTGCAAACTGAAAATGTATAGATCGATATTCTATCTGTACTTTTCTGTTCTATTCTCTTTAGAAAATTCTGCAAAAATCCTATCAAGAAACGTCATAAAACTCTGCAAGATGTAGCGAGAAATTTCTTTTTCAATTAAAAATCGTTGAAATTCTAGTAGAGTCCTGATCTGAAAATAATGGAAAACTGTTCAGGATTTTTTTAAGATCTTTTTTCAAATCTTGTCAAAATCTTTGACATTTCGGAGCTACATGGGTGAGTGCAGTGTGTATGTGGGAGTTTTTTTTTGAATCATACCAAAATTCGCACCCATACCCAAACCAAAACTTCACTCCCGCCTTTACACCTTCTTCCACACTAACGCTCACACCCACGCTCTGCAAATCATATGCATCGATAATCTAAAACTATCCTGTAAAAAAACTTTGTAACTTAGTTCAGTATATCCTGGCAGGGCAGAGCGGGTTATTTGTGGCCTGAGGAGTTTCAGTGAATTATGAGGGTATTCTTTTATAGTGTGGATGTGAAAATAAAGAAAAGACAGACATCTACACTTCCACTCTAAAGCTATACAACTTTTCATGCCCGACTCTCTGTTATCGGATTCGTTTGTTCTATGATAAGAAATATAATTGGTTATTATATGTTATCAAATATCTGAGATTAGAGAAATACAAAACTCCGCACTTCTTCCTATCATAATCCTTCTTATTTAAGCAGATAAGAGCAGACGAATTAATATTCTATCCTGAAATATAGCTCTCTTAAAAGTTCTAGTGATTCTTATTCTTTAAGTTGTTTTACTTGATTCAAAAAGAAATTGTGATATAAATAGCAATTGCAATACATCACTTTTTTCATCACACAAACACTAACTTACAATAGCCTGAAATATCTTCAATTATATGGCACAAATTCATGCTCAGAGTGCCTTTGTTACCACGCAGCCAGTGGTTATCAATCCATTTCACCAATTCACCGACAGCTGGAGAGTAGACTTATGCGAATGTTGCAATGATATTTCTCAATGTGAGATCACTAATCTATCGACTACTCATTCCTTTTTTTGTTAAACGATGTGTTCTAGGCTGCTATGCATATTGGTGTTTTCCTTGTTTTGTTCTGGCGCTCGCAGGCAAGATTGACGAACCTTGTGTATCATGTTTCTGCCTTCCAAATGCACTTGGTGTTTATCGCATGAAAGTTCGAGCTACTCTACGAATTAAAGTATGTTGTTTCACATAGGGATTCAATAGAACTAAAGTATTGTTTTCTATTCATCAGGGTGATTCTTGTAATGATTATTGTGTTGTTTGCTGTTGCCCATTCTGCGCTGGACTTCAAATGCGTAATGAACTCACTCAACGAGGCCTTCGTTAAATCTTCTGATGGTCACTTTAAAGATATTTTGAACTGAGAAAAAAAAGACTGAATTTCTATATTACACACGTACACGTACAACTACTGCTTAGATGATATCATTGTCAATATCATCAGAGTGCAATAATTAATTTTGAGATGTCTCTTGATTGAAGAATAAGAATTAACAGAACAAAATGTGAAAGAAAAGATTTTTTTTAAATATTCCTTCGGTGATTTTAAGATTGTTGTAGACCGAGACTATTCCCACTGTGTAATTCTGACTGATAAACTTTATGCTTCAACTATTTCTACTAACACAGATAATTCACATTGTATTGTGTACAAGAAGTGTACCTCATATGAAATGTAGATGCTACGTATGAGCCAGGTGTTTCTGGCGCATAACAGAACGAATTCATATTATTAGTGTGCTTCATTACAGAATAGAATACTGGATTTGAGAATTTTACTGACTATAATTTTCATATGTTCATTGTTGCCAATGTTTGTTCTGACTGATTGAAAACTATTAATGGGGCACATCTATTGAGGCGAACATTGGTTTCAATGAGACCTCTCCTGCTGCTTGACCTCAGTAATCGCTGAGAAAATAATTTCAGTCGACAAAGTGATGGAATAAGAGTGAGGGTAGTGCGATATGACACCTCATCGACTTTCATTGCACATCATCAGCCATTTACTCTCTTACAGAGCAAAAAAAAATCAGAATGATAAACCCTTCAAAAGTTTATGAAAGTAACATGTATGCTAAAAGACTATGTAAAAATTTGATGTTCGATTTTCCATGCTTAGGGTTGTCGATATTATTTAAGGGTGGGATGGGCTCAAAATTCTCGCTGAAATTGCTCTCGGTCTTGGAGTGCTAGAAGTGATTATAGGGTAGGTTGGGGACCAGAAAGGAGAGAAGAACGAAACTCACCATGACCTGATTCCTCTCAAAACAGTCGATTTGCCACTTGGCCGTTTCTCACTCTGGATCTATTCTAATCCTATTCACCTTGCAACGACATTGTCTGCTTATTTTTATTTCACTTTCTATCAGAGAAAGGCAAATGGCGTTTCAAAATCCGGTTTCTGTTCAAAGTTACCCCGAAGCTGCAAAAAGTTTGTAGAAAACCGATCATTTGGGAAGAGGAAGTAGAAGCTCCCTCATCTCTCTCTCTAATCGAGAACCCTGATCAGTTTAATAAACTCTTGTGTAAGGTTTATTATTGTTCACATGTTCTTTTTTTTACAGTGTAGGATACGTAGATACCTTGCGGTTGAATAATCGACTTTCGATGTTTTTGAAAATGAACTGTTCCATGGAGAAGATATATTTGTCGGATAATATGAATCAATAAAATGATATTGAAGAAAGAAATCCAAAGTATGAGCAAAATGTTATGAACCATGACATCTTATTTGCTGAATTATGTAAGCGTAATCATGAAACATGGTGAGAAACCACAGAACAGTAATGTATAATTGATTATAGGCGAACCAGATATAAAGAAAAATGACCGAAAGATTATCAATGAAGCGATAGGCAAAGAGTATTATCAAAAGTATATAATGAAACAACACAATGTGAAGCCTAGATTTGAAAAACCATTGCCTATGAACAAAGATAATTTATCACTCAAAATAGATCCATGTCATAAAGATAGAATATGTTGAATGAAACCAAAATTCAATAAAGATCTCAATAAGACAAAGCGTTAATTACATACTAATTGCTCATGTTACTGTTAAAATACCGACTGTATTTTCACATTTAATCAAACCCTATAAATACAGACATTGTTTACTACCGTTAAGTTGGCGTGTTTTCAGATTTACTGACTGAAAACGAGCTGTAAATATTATCCGTTTTGAGCGATCTGAACATGAGTAAAGATTCAGAATACCACAGTTTCATAGCATCGACACAATCTAGACACAAATACATAGAAGATTCAATTGAATATTGCTCTTCGAAGTGGACTACAGGTTGAACAAGTAACGCTCATCATTGCAACTCGGGTGTAGGTATGCGTGTGCGTGCTGGTGAGGACGTCAGTGACAATGTCGATGTATACGCAATGTGACGTTTATCGTTACTATTCTAATAATCACACTCAATATTGTACACCGCACCGTCACATCTATATGTCAGTCAAAATATACATATTTTTCCTCGATAGATCTCAATATTTTGACAACTCCACTTCAACAGTTCAATGAATTGATGAGATCTTTTCAGGTATCATAGAAAAGACTTTGAGCTATCAACTGCTATATTTCTTATTTAATTGCAATTTATTATTACTTAATAGGACGATGAGCAAGTAAGATTCTAGCGATTTCTGCTAGAGTGATCGAATTACCACAACCGGGGGGTAATTCGGATCATTTTTGCAGGGCTCTTAGCATTTTTGTAAAAACTCTATGAAATAAATTAAGTTTTTTTTAGATTTCAATATGGATCGGTAGACAACACTTTGGACTATCTACTGAAGAAAAAAATCTTCTTTGTCTCATGTAAAATGGTTGACAGATTGCTAAGATATATTGATTTTTTTGAAGAGTGATCCGAATTACATCAATTAACTACATTATTTTATGTAAAATGATTGTATCGTATTTGATTCTATTAATGATGACATTTATTATAAATGTGAAAAAGGTTGTTGTTGTTGTTGTTGTTGTTTTTCTTCTCTTTTTCTCATCGTTTCTGTTATGAGTGAAAAAAAATGACCTTGTTGAGTATTCTCGTCTTTGACAAAAAAATATGTAGAAAAGTGAAAAAAAAAATACATCAAATAAAAAGAAGGAAATAAGAAATTTAGTGGTACAGTATTAAAATTCTAATAATTTTCAATGTTTTACGAAAAAAACTAAATGATATCTTAATGTGATCGAACTATTAGTCATTTACATCTGCTTACACTTTGAACTATATGTATAAAAAAATCATATCTAATATAAATATAGAGGACTACTCTGGTCGTCAATTTGTATTATAGAAAAAACTGTATTTACTTCTTCGTTAGACACTCTTGATAAAAAAAATAATTGATTTTTTGACATGGTACTAAATTGCGAAATTCATCACACGATATAACTTTTTGAGCTCTATTACTAATGAAAATATTAAAGCATTCCATCGTTGGCACATTAAATGCGTTCAACCGATATTTTGCTAACAAAATATCAAAAAGGATAAAATAGAACTCTGTTCGGGGTATGAATATATTTTATATATAATTAAAGAAAATTTCTGAAATTTTATATGCAGTAGTAGAAGTCACTAATAATTATGATCAAAAGAGCATTAACCTTGTTTTGAAAGACAAAAATCATTCTTTCGAGCAAAATTCATGAAATCGATTAAAAAATAAGAAATTTCTGCGATATTACTCCATCGTCAATGCACTAGAAAAGTAACTGATTTTCTGGGACAGTCACTTTTAAAAAACAAAAGGTATTCAAGATCACTTGGTTTTATATGGTCAATAGTTTCTCGTCGTCATTTCCTGGCTTTATGATACAGTCCAACATGTCATTCGTATTATCCTAAGTTGAATTCTCTTGAGTTCTATACTAGTCTAAAGGTATATATACGTATATATATCTATTTTACATGTATGTTGATAGCCTTAAATTACTTTGAATTATCATTTTTCGAATCGCGAGTATTACTGTTAAGTCGATGTTTAAAAATCGTTTTACATTTTATGTCAACATGATCAGTAGTCAAGATCAATATAATATGTAATGTAATAATTTTCTAATACTTTTTGTACTAATATCTTATTCAAAATAGAATAAATTTAACATTACTATATTTTTCATCAATATCTGAATTATACGAAAGCAAATATTTAATTCACATGTTTGTTTACCATTACTCAATACTTTTTCATACATAAGTATGAAAACAATTCCTACAAGAATCAATTAAAGTAATATCTACTTGTTCTGATTTATGATTCTCAGTTACAAATAGGATTGTCATTTTTTGCTTACAAAGCATTAGAAATCAACACTTACATTTAACTGCATACTATTATTAATATGATGTTTTTATATAGGAAAAAAAATATCTCATCAATTCGATCAATGTTAATCTTATCTTACATACAAACGCCTATCTATTTACCTGATTGTTAGAGTTCTTCAAATAGAAGGAGAATAAAAAATATTTTGAGAAAAGATATACAAATTAAGAATAGATACTCTTTGTTCTTTCATTTTTTTTTGTTATTAGTCTTACTAGTAAAAATTTCTGCATTCATTCTATGTATTTTAATAAAAATGCAAAATTTCTAAAAATAACTTTAAGTTTATCGTAATTATATCCAAAATAAGAAAGCCATCGAAGGGTTACTTAGTATACATTTACAAATGAATGTAACGTATATTTGTATATGTAAAGAATGGTATTGTGTGGAGTAAGATCAAATAAATATTCTTAATTAATTTTTTCTCTATTATAATTATTATCAGATCTGATCTTTACAGAATTTAATCGATTCCGAATTCCATCTAATCGTTATTAGATAAACATATACGATAGTTCTATCCAATAGTCTAGTGTATGTCTTTCTTTCCTTTTTTTTTTTGTTGTTGTTGTTTCTTTCTATTTAGTGGATATCCACATATCTGATTCAATTTTTCTATGACGAAATAATTATGATTTTGTTTAATAAAATTTCGAATTTTCAAAATAAAAAGTCATATTTAAGATTATTATTCTTAGATCTACAAATTCATTTAGTTAATTGGGTGGATAGACAAATAAAAATTTTCATTGTTATCATCAAGTTCAGAAAAAAATGAACAAAACAAAGTTCAACTAAACGAACCATCAAATTGATTTGTCACACAACATTAGTGAAGAAATAATATTTCTATTTATCTTTAATCATCGTTTCCAGTACATTGGAATTCGAGATTCACTATAATGAACAAATAAAAAGTTCGACAACTAAGTACAATATCATAGTATCATATCAATGCATTATATCGTATGAATAATTTTTTCTTTCAGTTTTTTTGTGATGCTTTGCTTTATGTTTTGTTTAAAGTGTGTCATAAAAACATCAGTTCTATAATTATATTAATATAATCAAAAGATATATCGTAGTATAATATAAACATTTTGAAATGTCGTATTTAAGTTTAAAAAATAAATTTTTTTATATTAGACATAACATGAAATAAGAAAGTAATTCTTGTGTAAAAGAAAGTAGAATGAATTCTTTCGTTTTGTTTTTCTCTATTCGATATTATTATGAGAATAACAATTAGGTTTTTTTCTTGTCATTAAATATCATTTATCACTTTTTGCAGCTGAGCCATATTTCTATTTATTTATGTTACAAACAACATTAGTAATACGAACAAACATATGTCACAAGCTCAAGTACACAATATGGGGACGTTCATCTCATAAGCTATTTAGTTGTATTTACATACTGATGATTTTATCATAACTATAAAAAAAAAGTTGACTTTAACATGGCAGATGTTTTTTATTGATATCTACCAAAAGGCGTTTAATTACCTTAACATTTATATAACCGATCAAAATGTATGATTAGAAAATCGTTCGTAAGATTTTTTTTTTTTTTGAAGTAATTTTGGGATGTTGTCTCTCTCTACTCATTATGAACAAAGACATACATATTTTAGCTTCATGGCCTTGTGAATGTCTGTCTCATCAATTCATTTGTACGTTAGTATTTATCATTATCAATAGAAAGAAAGAAAAGAAAAAAAAAACTACATTCTTAATTGCATCTTTGTATTCTCTATTTTTATGGTCTATTATCAAAACTAATTTCATCTGCTCATTGATTTACTGTGAAATTACCATTTTTTTTTGCCTCATTCGTATACCGTTTTTTTTCGCCTTCCTACACAAAACATTTTTCAAGTAATATTCAAGCGTAAGTAAATAATATCACTAAGATGATAAACTTTCGATCCATCGATCTAAGTTAATACATCTGTTTGTTTCCTAATGGTCTTATACAAATCAAAAAAAAAAAAATTTGTTAAGAAGAAAGTATTTACTGATGTTATTTAATTGAAGGACTTTCTAGTTGACTCGCAATTATTGAGTTAATGATCAATAACTAGGAAGACTAAGGAGAAAAAAAAAAACGACAAATGGAAAATATCACAGTGGCATTCTCGTTTTTGTTTTGTAACTGTTAGATCATTATAATAATAGAAGAACAGTTAAAGATATAGACATTTATTTTCTTCATATCGAGTAACAAGTATTAAGAAATAGAAAAAACCTATGTAAGTATTGATATATGATTTAAAAATAAAATAAAACCGAGTCTTTCTTTTTTTAATAATCATATGTGTTTTAAGTCTAATCGTCTTGATGTCAGAAAAATCAATAAGTTTAACTTGGATTTATTGACAGTAGCCTTTGTTATAACGATGATACATTCTTTTGTTCTGACCTTCTCATATTTAGTCAGTTCTCTTATCATTACCGATAATAACATATCATAAATTACAATCCTTCTTTTTTTTTCTTATACAGGCATTCAACAAACGATAGTGATAATAATACATTGAAAAATCTAAATAAATCACTACAAGAATCATCACATTCATTATCAATGCAATCATTAGGTGTAAATGATGATTCAAATGATGCTCGTGACACGCCAATCAATACACCGTCATCAACATCGCCAAAACCTTCACAATCATTATTTGCTAAATTAACTGACGCAAAAAAATCATTATTTGGTCGAACAAATGCACCTGATCCTTTTCTTTTATCAGATACACAAAATAAATCTTTATTAACATATATTCTTTCTGAACCAAATCCACAATTAGATATTATACAAGAATTTGAACGTAATGGGTCACAATTGAATTCTTTTACAGAAGAAGGAAATACTATATTACATTTACTTGCACGAGCTGAAATGCATTCAATTGAATGTATACAAATTGTTGATTATTTAACGAAAAAAGGAGGTTGTGATCCGAATAAACAAAATGAGCATGGATGGACAGCAGGTATATGTTTATTTATTTATTTATTTTCACAATGGGAATTCGATAACATTTGATATTTTAAGTTATGAGTAGATTTTAATACAATAGAATTTATTTTCAGTAATATAGCACTGAAAATTTGATTTCAAATAAATAATTTTTAAATTTATTAGTATTAATTAATAGTTATTTATTAATAGTTATTTATTAATAAGACAATTTATAGCGTGAATAAGTACCATAGAAAAAAGAACGAGAAGGTAAAGAAAGAAAGAAAAATATGAAGAAGAGAATAAATGTTAGACCATAGAAGCATATGAATCAGTTTGAGTACTAATAAGAAATCACAGTATGCATATAATCAATGAGTAAACCCTATAAAAACATCTACGACATATACACCATAAATTGATGTATTCTCGAGAAGATCAGGTATAAACTATATTAGGTCATTGAGTATATGTCGATGATAAATTTTCAATGTTAATATGTATGACTTCATATTAAAAAATATAGAGAGATTCTATTTCCAGTATTTTGAAATGAAGTAGACATTTGATAATATTATTCTTATTAGAATCATTGAGAAATGAAATTTTATTTCCAAACTAAACGATTACCTGAAATAACATGCTAAAAAAGACATTATTGTTTATAATTGTTTTATGTTGATGTATTTTTGTCGTATGTCATATCAAAACTTGGAAGAATATCGATTCTGTCATAGATATGACATTGATTTCATTCTTGATGATATGTATTATAACTATATATTGCGATAGTTTATTATTAAGGACATTGCCCTCAATAATCGATCTTGTACTAGGTACATTCAAATTACAGAAAATGTCCAGTTTGACATTATAATATTTTCGAGAGATATATTTAACAGACGAGAATCAAAAATAACTCATTTGGTAACGTAAAATTTAATTGTGAGCCCTCATTCTATAGATCTGTGTTTTTTATTCGTACGAGAATGTCAGACTGCAGTGTCCTTTGTTTGACATTCTTACTTTTTATGCGGAGAAAAACGATAACAAGTTCAATCGTTCGAAAAAACTCTCAAAAAAATGGTCACAAATTTATAGAAAGTCTTGCAAACAACAAATGGCAAAAATTATCAGTAAAAGTTTTGGCAAAAAACGAGATATCAATTAAAAACTCAGATCTCAAACTATCTCCTCATACATTTATCTCAATTTTAATTTTTTCTTTTTTGAGAGGAGTAGCCTTAATGTAAAGGTTGACCTAAAAGACACTTTACTGAGAACAAATTGAATATCTCTGTCATATTTGGAACAAACAGGTTGATTTCTTTTTCACATCATTAATAAAAGTGTGTTCATAGTTTATATTCGACAAAAACTATTTTGAAGTGCAACTGTTGACTTCAATGAAAAACAATAAATACTCGTGATCAAAATAATTGTCACATCCATTAATCAATTGGTTTCATATTTATATCACATACATATGTTTTGTATATGAATGTGCCATAAAATTCTAGCCATAAATATCGAGAAATCTGCTGAGAAAATTTCAAATGTTTCACATGTACTCTTGTGTGACTGCAAAAAATTATGTTATAATACCTGTCTCATTATCATTTTTTGTTCTATTTGAATTCTTGGATAATGTTTAGTTACCCGTTGAGATAGTTTAAAGATGATCATATCTCTGACTTTTCAAAATTTAAAATAATTCAAAAATAATATCAAGACAATCATTGTAATTTCAACAAATTCTTATCGTTTAGGATTAAAAATTTCAGAACACAATGTAAAACAAAGCCTAACATTTTAGTGTACACGGTTGGAAAAAATATTATTCCACGGGGGTAACGCTATAATTTCAAATAGAAGACATAATGAATTTTATATCAA